ACAGAGCCCTGTTAGCCTCCTAGCCTAGTTTTGCCTGGCCTTGTCTGTTTTCTCCGGCTTTGATCTTCGCCTGTTTTCCTGGGTTTCTCCCTTTAGCCTTGCCCCTGTGACTCTGTCTGCCAATCGTCGACCCACGCTAGCCCTAGGATTACTCTTGTGTCTTGCCTGCCATATACCTGTTTGCCGCTGTTTCGACCCTGCCTGTGTTTCTGACCTCCTCTGCTTTAAATAAAGCTTTGCTTATGGATCCGCACGTCTCACGTCTTGTCAGCCCCGTAACAGAATACTCGGCCAACCAAGGATCCAGCGGCTTTTCATGTGGACATTGGCCAGGTATTTGCGAGACTGTTGTTAGCCCTCGAGCAGGGTTTGCGAGCGCTTGAGGATTACGTACAGGAGTATTTGGTTCTTGCATATTTTTCTGATCTGCCTGACTGTGTGCTCATAGATTTTTTTTGTGAGGGTATCAATGAACCGTTAAAGACACGATTAATCCGTGAGGGTCCCCGTTCTTCTCTAAGTGATTTTGTGGATTATGCTCTGTTGTCTGTTGGTTCAGCGTTCACTGTGGGTATCGCAGAGGAACGCGACCCAGCACTCACTCGTGTAATGGCGGCCGCGCTAGAGCACACTCACAAAATGGCGGACACTGCAGCGCCCAGTCAAGTGTCCTGTTCCGGCCAAGGAGGTCGTCTATGAACTTCCTGCCTGTCCTGTTCCGGCCAAGGAGGCCGCCTGGAATCCTCATCCTGTCCTGTCACGGTCGTGGAGGTCGTTTGTGAATTCTTGGCTTGCTTTGCTTCAGCCCGGGAAGTTGTTTGTGAACTGTTGTCCTGTCCCGACCCAGCCAAGGAGGCAGCCTTGTCTTGTGTGAATGACACTGTGCATCTTCTATATATAAGCATTGCCCTCCTCAGCTCGTAGAAAAGCTGTTTGTGATGCGCTTTGGTTCATCATGTGACTTTCTCATCACCACCTGTTTTTGGTGGTTATCAGTGCATTACAATGGTTCAAAACAGATATTAGTACTTCAATTTATTAAAGGGGTCATATGATGCATTTTCAATTTTTCCTTTCTCTTTGGAGTGTTACAAGCTCTTGGTGCATAAAGACGATCTGTAAAGTTGCAAAGACTAAAGTCTGAAATCCAAAGAGCTATTCTTTATAAAAGTTAAGTGTCAACCACGCCTACCTAAAATGGCTCATTCTAACTCCCATATCACAAACGTCATGATGTGGGAAGATTTGCATAATGCCGCCCAAATGTTCAGGCAAAGAAAGAAGGCGTAAATTTTATTCTTGCTGTTGCCGCCTCCGACATGTTGTGAAGACGCTGTGTGTTTCGTTGTGAAAGCGAAAACTACTTTGTTTGGCCTTCCAAAAAAAGGACACGACTAGAAGGACCATTGACACTCTATCTACAATCTCAATTAGGAGTGTCAATGGTCCACTTGAGAGATAGGTGGCGGTAATGCACTTATAAGTCTGTGATCCGCAGTGAAGCAAGAAGAAGACTCCTCACGCGCCTGCTGTTGAGAACGTGCTCAGGACAGTTCGAACAGTTCAGACATTGCGTGAATCAGAGGTAAAATACGATATAAATACTGTTCAGTTTCTTGCACAGACCGATCGTTTTGTGTCTTTACACATCAATGTACCATCATGAGCCGCAGGGTTTAATTTGGTTTTGTTTGTGTATGTTTTAACCGTGATTCCCATTCACCTCCATTATAAGACTGACAGACTCCAACGGTTTGTGTTAAAAATCTTCGTTTGAGTTCTACTGAAGAAACAAAGTCACCTACATCTGGGATGCCCTAGGGGTAAGCAGATAAACATCAAATTGCGTAAGCACCAGAAAGTATAAAAGCGCATCCAGCAGATCGCAAACCAGCTTCGATGAAGTAGCGCCTGCAGGGATGCAGGGAGTATGGCAAAGAGATGCAGAGTCTCGTTCCCTCGGGGAACCATGGTTACATACATAACCTAGAGACGTTCCCCTTCAGGAACTCGAGCTGCGTCGAGATTCGCTTTGGGAACGAGAATACCCACTGTGCCATACTACCAAGTCCCTGCCTGTGTGTGTATCTTATGAGCACATCACGAAGAGAGAACTTGGGAACCTGGGGTAGATGCCAGGTCTAGGTTGTAAAAGCGGACAAAAGTGTGTGGAGAGGACCAGCCCGCCGCAGCACAAATGTCCTGCAAGGCCACACCCAAGTTGAAAGCCTTGGAGGCCGCCATACTCCTGGTCAAGTGCGCTCTGACCCCCATAGGCGACGGGAGGCCAGAGGACTCATAAGCTAGTGAGATAGCCTCGACCACCCACCTACTCATAGTCTACTTGGTCGCCAGAGATCCCTTCCTCGGTGGACCAAAACAAACAAACAAAAGCTGATCTGCCTTACGCTACAGGGCAGCTCTGTGTGAGTAAGTGTCCAGTGCTCAAACTGGACAGAGCAGATTAAGCCTTTCTTGCCTACTTCCTGGAATGGAGGAGGACAGAATGCCTGAAGTACTATGGGCCCTGGTGAAGAAGTGGGCACCTTAGGGACATACCCGGCCCTCGGGTAAAGGAATGCCTTACCCAGGCCGGGAGCAAACCCCAGGCACGAAACAGAGAGTGCCTGAAGATCCCCGATCCTTTTCAGTGAGGAAATAGCGAGGAGAAAGATAGTCTTGCAACTTGACCGACACTTCTTCTAAGGGTGCTTAGTGCGCTGTACCGGCCTCCGCCTCAGGGTGCCACAGAGGAAACGAGTGATAAGTGGTTGTCTTCCCAATGATTGACCACCCAGAAGGGCGTGGTAAGCAGCTAAAGCCACCACGTATACCTTCAGAGGGGAGGGAGATAACCCTG